AATTATTAATCAAATTAATAATTAATTAATTTAATATAATATTAAATAATTAACAATTAATTATTTAACATATTCTCTCCTGTATAACATATTGATTTAATGTACATCTTATGTGCATTAATTTTTTAACCTATAGTTTTAATATGAATCATATTCATATTAATTTTATTTGAATCTCATTCAAATAATTTCTCTTATAATATATAGTTTCAATTTAGAATTAACTATATATTATAATGTATTAATATACATATATTCCCTTGAGCAATTTGAACAGTTCAAATTCTTCCAAAAACTTGATCCTCGTTTTATCCGTTATGAGCTAACAAGGGGACCTAATGGACCTACAGATCAGAAGCTTCAACAATACGAGATTAATCGGTCAAACTCATTGACCGAGTTAATCAACATTCGTTAACTACGGGTCACTCCACTAAAGACCTGTAGTTACACTTTTCTGACTGCAGAATGTTTTCGTGTCAACGGATATATGACCATTAATGACTAGTCAATCCTTCACGAGTGCTCGTAACTCAAGTTGGGTCAAATTACCGTTTTACCCCTGAGTTACATCTTACTCCTTAAATACCACTGCTCCTCTAATGAACAACCCGGTTATGGTCCGACCAATAACTAGAAGTCCCTCTCGGACTAGTGAGAGGGTTGGGCCCCTTGTTCAAGTCCAGGAGTCAGTAATTAAGAGAACACTCATCTACTCCCCTAAAGTCGGAGATGAGTGAATTCCATCTTGTGAAGTTATGTTCCCAACTCTCCACTCGGTCTCATCCCCAAAATGGTAGGAATATTGAGTTAGTAACTTAGACCAGTCTCACCCATACAGATCAAAGGACGAGCCTTCATGGGCAGGAGTCCATAACTCATTCAGGATTGAGAATAAGTTGTCTGGTCATCCTATGAAATAGCAATCTGTTAGTCAACAGCGTTACATCTAAAGATTGTCTATTTCGCAGTCCGGTCTTATACAAACTCATTGTATAGGATACCCCCACTCACATGTCTTCACACGAACGACCTGGATCTAGTCGTCTGTAACATTTACAAAGTGGGCTGTATCCGTAGTGTTACCAGGATAAGGTATCCAACCTTATCCATATATTATAGACCCTTTAGGTTATTCACGGGACATTATCCACTCGTATATGAGGGGTATATCAAATACATACCTCGTATATCAGGGGTATATCAAATACATACGTAGTATATCAAATATATACTGTCCCGGTTACATGAAAATAACCTTGGATGTTTAATTTATTGGATTTTGGACAATGCAATGCTATGAATTCAACAACAAATTTATTGAATAAAACTTTATTTTAATGTGCATTTGTTTCTACATAAATACAAACTACGAATTTAGGGCAACACACCCAACAAGAACAACCTAGTTTACAATTGAATAGTTAAGAGCGTCAAGCGTGCTATTTGTAAGCCTTGTGTTTTTCTATTGACAGCTAATGTATGAAGTAGAGGCGAGTTGCTTATAATTGATAGTTTATTAGTTTTGAACGGAAAACGTTGCACCAAACAATCTTTTGTTACCCAAAGAAAGCAAATTGCTTACAAAATATACTTTTCAAGATTAATTTTAATAGTTCTCGTGGATATAAACTCGACGTACCATTTTCCTGTACTTATGATAATGTGCACTTGCACTAACCACTCCCCGATTAAGGTACGGGTGCAACAACATTATCCTTAACTCGATTTATTTGCATTTCTTAATTAAGATCTATTCAACCTTTCTCCGATCCCTCTGGTAGATTTGTGGTCTATTCAATTGGCCAAGTGGAAAAAACACAAAATATATAATGAGAAAACATCAAGGCAATGCATTTAAGAAAAACTACAACGTTAGAACACCCCAAGGGAAATAGTTCACCGCAATCCATGTGCTTAGCTACACTCCATAATAGTTTGGTTTGTGAAATAAAATATACAGCAGAACACAGAAGAAAACTAAACGAAACAAGCGTTCTCCACTTTGAATAAACTGCAAATTTCCTCTAAGCAACTTTTAGCCTTTTCTCTTTTCGTCTGTCAAAGTTCTTAACATAAAACTTTCGTTTGAACAACTCCCACTTTTATATCCTTCCATCAACGCTGCTTTAGCATTTCTAAACGCATTCTACACTTGCAACAATCCATTAATACACTAACAATAGGATCACCTTTCCGTTGTCTAGCATTAGTGAGCTCAAACATACTCACCATTCGTCTTGCACTGTAAAAACGATTTTTAAATTCTTTTCTCAAACTTTTCCTAAGTGTCTATTGACTTAGACTCTATATTAGTGTACCTCCCTTCAATATCCGAACGAACTGCTTGACCAGTTGCTATCCTCTCTCGTACCAGTGATTTCGCAAGTAGTGACAAAGAGAGTAATGTGTTGTTTAAGTATGTCATTCCCATTGTTTTGTATAAAATTTGGTGATTGATACCTAATTGGTATTATCAAACCATCAAATCTCTTCAAATATGGTTTATAATAGAAGAGAGTACTTTGGCAGGAGCCGTGTATTGAGTCTTGATGGAGTCTGTCATCATGTCGTTGAGTTGTTGGACAGATAGTGAAACGATGGAAATGGAATTTTTTGGTTGATCTTCTTGAATAATGGTATTCCATTTTCGTTTCAATGGAATTTTTTGGTTGATCTTCTTGAATAATGATATTCCCTTTCTCATTATTTTCAACAATTAGAGTCCACCGACTTGATTAACCACTATCTTGGTTCTCAATCCTTTTCTTTAGAGGGGCGATTTGAGAAATCTTCTTTTCAGTTTTTTTTTTTTCCATCAGGTTGCTAATCTTCCTCTCCATTTATACAATTATTTCATCCATGGTGCTCGCATCGGTCATCATAAAAGAGACAACCTCAAGATTAGAAACACATAACAAATTATGTTTAAAAAGAAAATCATCTTTAATAGATTCTTCTAGTAGCATCATTACTTTGCTCCCAAACAACAGATAGGATTTAATTTTCATACATTTGTTGTTCATTAGAGCAATCATGGTCAATGGATCTCATATAAGATTCGCTCATGTGGCACTTGAGACATAATTTTTCAACGTCTTTTCTTTTTTAGGAAAAACTTCAGTATTTAGAAACAGATAAGATGTAGAGATTGTCCAACTGGGCATGTCAATTTGTTCCCACAAAATTTGTGGAAAAATTTAATTCATCGAATAAATATTATTATTTTTTATTTGGCATTCATACAATCTCTAATATTTATCATTTGATTCTTTCTCTTGAATTCTTTGATAATCAAACCAGGTTCACTAACTTATTGATCTTGATTAATTAGCCAACTGCTTTGTTGATCGTGATTGACCGTCCAACTTGTCAATGGTGATCAGCCCACTCCCTTGTCGATCGATTGTGATCGGCCTTCTTGCTTGTTAATCTTGATCGACTCTCTAGCTCGTTGATCTTGATCAACTTTCTTGCGTATTGATCTTGATTGATCCTTTGTTTGTTGATCATCTTGGAAGATTAACCTCTAGCTTGTTGATCTTCATCATCTCTTTGGCTTGTTGATAGTCTTGGAGGATTAACATCTATCTGGCTTGTTAATCGTCTTGGAGGATCATTTGGCGTGTTAATCGTGTTGGACGATCAGATTGATCGATGTTTTGAAGTCTTCTTTTGGTTTTTGAAGTTTTCGAAGTCTTTTTGTCTTTAGATCTTCTTCCAATCTTTAAAGTTTTTAATCTTCTAAAAAATCGTCAGACTCTTTATGTTTTCAAAGAGTCTTCCAATCTTCTAAGTATTAGATATTCAAAGTTTTTACTCTTAAGAGGGTTTGATCTTCACAATCTTCTAGTCTTTGATGGGCTTTATGTGTTTTGGGCTCATGTGCCCGCTAACTTGAGCCTCGAGCTTACTTGAGTCTCGTGCTAACTTCAGCCTTCGATTAAGTTGAGCTTGGTGCTTTGTGCTAAGTTGAGCCTTGAGATTGGTTGATCTTGAGCTCTCGAGCACTTCTGGTTGATCAGGTCTTGATAGTTGTTTGTAGTCTTTAATAGATGAATTTGGACTTTTCTCGGGTGTGACAAAATTTATTTTAGTGGACTTAGGTTTATTTGTCTGTGAACCCAATTTCCATACGTTATAATATGATTGGATCAATTTGTGATTCGCCAAAATTTATCACTTAACAGTAGCATTTAAAAAAAAAATTTAATCAATATTTATTTAATTAAAGAGAAATTTGATAAACACACAAGGTCTACACTATATATAAATTTTTAAGTAAAGTAATAAAGAAAGTAAAAAAAAGAATCGCAAGATGGAGAGAAACTTTCTCCCCTATAACACGATTTATATATAGTATAAACTAGATATTTCTCACCATTTGAAGCTATCTAAGATGCATATGCTAACTAACAATATATTTGAACTAGAAGAAATTTAAAGTATATATACAATCCCATTATCCTCCCAATCGGAGCATATCTTGAGTGAATAAACCACTTATTACCCTCCAAAATGTTCACGGTTTCGACCTGCACCGTATTTGTTGAACTAAAAAATAAAATGAAAAATCCCCATCAACCAATGTTTAGATATATGAAATTTTCTACTAAGTTGGCATCTTACTTTATGGTAATTATATTTTTCACCCTCTGTTGTATGAATTAATTTTTAATTCCTTCCATCTCATACATATATATGTTTTGGTATACGAGTGCTCAAAATGTAAAGTGGATCAGTACTTTTTCTAAACTCAGAAAATAAATGGGATTCTAGAATTATGTTCGATGAATTTTTAATGTATCAATTATAAACCTTAAAACTGACACCAAGGATTGCATGCATGCGTTTTTTTGTTTGATTCATTGGAATTTTACTAAAAGTTAATTAACCTTCCATTTTAAACTATCATACCATATTTGAATTTTCATTAAATTTTTTATCCTTCTATAATTTAAAATAATAAACACTCCTCAACTATATATAAGCTGGTTTCTGTCGAAAACTTGAAAAGACAGACTAATAAAAGAAGGAAGAGGGAAGAAAATCGATCAAATATCACAGTTATGGCCCAAAAAATCTCTATCAAGTTGTCTTTTTTGGCTGCAATGATCTTGTTTCTCACCGTGTTTGGTTCAGGTAAGAGCTACAAGTTCAGTTGGTTTAAAATATCACTTTAATTCTTCATTGTCATTTATAGGGCAAAGAAGTGAATATTTTTTCAGTGGCAGGCAAGCCATTGGGCTCGAAAGCAAGCTCTTTCATCCATATCACATGCAATACTTCAAATGATTGCAAGGACCCTCACAACCCTTACGGTTGTTTATGCGACACTGGCTTGTGCTTCTGCGCAAGTCACAAGCCCTTCAACTTCAACACTCACAAGATTACTAATGAAATTCTCTCGTAAGACAACAAGAAAAAAAGATTTGGACTTGAAGAACTAATAAATTAGCCTTTACAATTTCATGCATGTGACAGGTTTACATGCCAGCCTTTTCTTTTGGAGTTTAAAGTTTGAATCAAATAAGATTTGAGTATTATTGCAGTTTTATCATGTATTATTGGGAGTAAATTACAAAAGCTACTCTTATCTTGAATGCATTAATTTCCATGGTTATGGTACAACTTGAGAATTTAAGATCTGATAGTGCTTTTATTTTAAACTCACTTTTTGTCAATATAATACAAGAGAATGATTTTATATCACCATAACTGTAATAATCCATAAAAGATAATAAAAGAAAATTTTATTATTTTATTCTTTAAAATAACATCAAACTAGTAGAGAAATAATCCATAAATTATTCGTGAGTCGCTTTCAAATTTGATTGACAAACGTTGTTAATTTTAGGGATGGAAGGACATAGAATCGAGAGAAGACATAAACAACTAAAATTTCATCGAATAAGTCAATGCAGATACAAACAATGTACTACTATTGTAACGCCCCGCGTTCTCTGACTCGTTTATTTTAAGAGATAAATAGTGTCTTTGGATTTTTCCATAAGCTGATAACTTTAATTGTTGGATTTTATAATTTTGAAATTCTAATTTTTGGCTAAATAAGAATTAAGTTTAATTTAATTGGATTAAGATAATTTAAGTTCTCGACCTGTATAGGAGATTTTTTAGTTAAATCTTAAATTCACGGGTTTTAGGATTTTTTTTCCTAAATTCTACTTTTTCTGTGGATTATTATTCTTGGGTTTTAGAGTTTCAGTTAACTATTTTATTTCGGGTTGTTGTGGGTTTTATTTGATTTCTAAAGTATAATTATTGGGCTTATTGTTTTGGGTCATTGTGTTATCTAGTTGGGCTTCCTTTAAGAATAAGGGATTGAGCTTTTAGTTTTTAAAACAAAAACAATGTAAATTAAAACAAAAATAAAGGAAAGGAAACCCTAAGCTACCCCACATCTCTTTCTTCT